ATAAACTGACGAATTTCCAAGCTCCATCGCCAATGACATGTTCCAATGAGAAAGCTGTTCACTTCTTTGCAACGGTGGAATACTAATGGGTTTTAATTTTAAATCAGTGTTTGTTGATTTCGTAATTTCTTTTAGCCTTTAGTATAGTTGTAGGTTGAGAAAACAAATCGAGTTGAAGGGGGTGTTGTGTAAGGTATTAAGTTGGTTTGGGATGTAGGTCATCGGCGTGTCTGCATCCAGTTGGACTCTCAGTGTATCGTGTGGCTGCTTCAATATGCGTCATGCTTATTATTTGTGACTCATATGTGGAATGTGACTGTCGTCCATATCTACAAAGAGAGTAATAGGTGTGCATACTCTTTGGACAGTTGAGAGTATGTTCTCTCCCCTTTGATTTCAGTAACCCATCTTATGTTGTATCACTCGATTTTGTATGACTATCAAAGATTTTCTGAACCCCAATTAATTTTGAATGAAGAGTAGAGTGTCGTTGCATCCGTTATAAAATAATTAGTGTCACTCATCTAACGATATCATCTTACATAAAAGCGGAGTATGTAATGTTGACATTGAACCATCCATAACTATTATCCAAGTCATTATTATGACTCGTAACTTACCGTATGTTATTTCTGACGAGGTTCGGTTTTCATATGCACTAGTACTCTGACCCGCAAGAGTTAATTACGACCAAATCTGAACCACTTATTAGGTGCACGTTATATGACAGTGAAAATATTGAACAAATACTTAGGGGTCATTTGGTTTTAGTGATTGTTTGGTTGATATGGTTACAATGCATGCATTGTCCACAATACATTGTAATTTTTTTTTTTGAATTTTCTGCACAAACTATAATGCATTGTTTACTTGATGTGATAGAAACTATCACTCAAAATGAGTGATAGTAATATCTCAAGTTTTGTGTGAGATTGTTTGTTTGAGATTGTTGGAGTGGTTTCTTCTTCCAACTATGTCCCTACCTTTTAATTTGTTTTGCTTTTTATATTAAATTTAAATGGTAGAAGTGACATTTAACCTAGAAAGCAATATATCTTATTTAAATACTAGAATAACTATCATAAAAACCAAACACCGTAAACTACAATATATCAATTTTCCTATATGCATATATATAATTATGCATGTATTGATAAAAATACATCTATTTAACTATCACCAAACTACAATATAGGTTTTATATGGTAAAGGGAGGTTTTCCTCGTAGTTCGTTTGACTCCGATTGTTATGAAATAATAATGGAGACTATGGGAATCCATGATTATAAGATGATTATTTCATTTTGGTGTAAATTTTGACCGACATTCACTTACAGATTTAACACTTGAACCGCATATACTTATCCCAACTTTATAACGATTGATCTTGATTTTAATTTTATCACACATAAAAAATGAGAGTGGAAGTGGAGGACAAAGAAAAGGTGATTATTGTTCATATATTAGCGACTAGTGACTTCACGAAAGCAAATTGCTAGTTGTAATAACAGTAAAAAAAAAATTGGTAGTTGTAATATTTTTGCCGGGTTTGTAAACTACGGAATACCCGCAAAACAAGACAAATCTTTTCTGATAAACCAACCAATGTATGAATTTCCGCAGATAAATATTGACAGCAAGAGATTATGCATAATCCTACAGCACTTATTGTTAATGCCCATAAAAACCAGACACTGAATGAATCACAAAGCAAGAACTACAGCCAGATATAGGCAGGCAAACACAGAATCACGCCATGAAACTAGGCTTATTATCTTCTGGCATGATGGGAAGATTAAAAAAAGATGCTGATGGATATACGATTAGGAAAAACTACTTAATGAGTTTTGGAAAGTAAAGTATGACGATAAACTTACCTCAAATACATATAAACAGTGTAAGTTTGGTAACTTCATACAGGATCCCAAATGATTTTGGGTCGGGGTGAGACAAACCGCATCAAAATTGCAGAATTGTTGGTTAATCGCAAATTGCGTAAAAGGATGTTTAAGGAATTGCAATTGTTTAGATGGACTGTCAAACAAAACATCGATTACGGGTAAATTGAATGCGTGTTAATCTCTGTTAGGATTTTAACCTTTGATTTGTATGGGTAAGTTCTAAGTAATAGCAGTCATAAGTCATATATATATATTACGTAAGAGATAAATACAAAAGGCAAAAGTCTCCCAAATACCAAACTACAAGTTCGATTTTTTTTTAAACATAGACAGAACTGGAATAAAGTCCAGATACATAATCAGAGAACATAATAAATTCACGAGTGAAACTCGACTAATAGTCGAACTTTTGATGAGAGAGCGTTTTTTGTCACAAAATGAACTGCTCTATTAACTCGACGAGTAACATGCAAGCAACAACAAAATGACCCGGCCCAGCAAACCTTTTCCTGTTTGACTGAAATATCCTTCTCTGCTTCGCTGTTGACTGTTGTGGCGTCAGCCGTCAAGTCAAACTGTCAAAGTCAATTTCTTCATGGAAATTTGGGGATGCAAAATCTCCAATTCCAGCCCGGCCCAGCCCAGCCCAGCCTATCACAGTCCAATTAGGTACTTCCTTTTCCCCGGATACTTCGTGGTTTTGTTTGATACATAAATATGGTCACTAAAGCCCCGGTCGTATTTGAGTGGTAGGTGAATATAATTGTAACTTCAATTGAAAATGTTTTTTGGTTCTCAACTTCAATTGAAAATGAGCAACATACCAATGAATTTATTAATTATTAATCATAATAAACTTTTAATAATTTAAATCGTGTCGGATAAACCTAATCCAAATTAGTAATAAAAACCAAAGTATATAAATATGCGATGAAATTATCTTATTCAAGCAAAAAACTGTATAGATTAATGTGATTTTAGGTGACTCAATTGTGTTGTTTGTTTGTGTCAAACTATGACCATTAAATCTGACTGATCTTTCTTCTAGTTCTTAAGTTGGGGTCAGAAAATGACATTTAGTTTAAAGGGTCCTCTACTTGTGAAGTCTCAAGTCAGCTTTCAAAGGATGCTTGGGTTCCAACTAGTTAGTCACCCACCCAATCAAAAGGCTTTTTAATTAGAAAGGAAATTCAATTTCTGCCATGAGGAGGAGTAGTGGCTTTAATCATTCAGTTGTTGTTGTTGCACATTTTCCCCCTTTGTTACATCAGCTTCTGTTGTAGACAGCCCCAACTCACAGAAAGAGTTGGAGAAATCGTTTCAAAATCATTACTCCTGCAAAAAAAACTCAATGATTAGAAAGCTCAGCTTGGTGATGCAACTTAATTGTTCCACGAAAATTAACAATTGTGGTTTTAGAAATCATCATTTAACAATAGGGTAGCCCATTTGGTGGCTAGGAAAGCCCTGTCTTTGTACCCGGCCACTTGCCGTTTCTTTGATTTTCAGGCCTGGCTGTCTTCCAGGATGTAACTTTCTCTCTTAATCTAATGGATTATCTTTTGTCAAAAAAAAAAAAAAGAAATCATCATTTACAACTACTTCTATCGGCTTTCGTAAAATCTTCAATTTGAAATTCTTGTGTATACGTCGTGATAGTAGAACATGCTATAATTTGAAATCCGAAGTGCAATAGTTTATTAAGGCTAAGCATCACATTTGAGATAGTCATATATTTCCATTGTAGTAAGTAAAAATTTGGCAGTTATTGAAATTGGTGTTTATTTTACTACACATCTATTCGTAGTTTAACTAACATATCTAACCTCGTACATTACTACTGTTCCTTAAGTGTCGTCAATGACAAGCTAAGACGACAAACCAAGTTGCCTCTCCGTATATTCCATGAATTGAATTACTCAAACTCAAACACCATTGATAAGAGCCAAAAAAAAAAAAAAAAAAAAAAAGAGGTTATTGTTAAATGAGAACTAACGTTTTTCTGATTTCTTTTTCCTGAGAGAAGTGTACAATTTTCTGTGTCATCTTGAGAATCAAAATCATTTGCCTACTTGAGACCTCAGAGCATGAGAACTGCAGTGTGAAACGAAAGCTCTCTGCCTTTTCTCACTAAACACACTAAAAAATCAGTATAAACTCAAAAGTACAGCAAAATGGAGAGAGAGGGAGAGAGAGAACCAACCAACTCCATTTTTTAAATCAGAAGTCAGAACACAAAATTCTTGATAAATAAACAAATAGTTAGTTGATGGAGTTAACAATACAAAGGAAGGAAGGAAGCTTTGAAGAGTGCAGCAAAGCAAGTGAGCAGAGCAGCAGAGTGCCCCCAAATTGACCACAGCTGGAAGAGGCCAGCAAGACACATGCAAAACTGGACACATTAACATATTTTCGTATCAGAAACTAAACCGACGAGCCTAATTGCTGCACGATAGTTCAATACTAACCATGAATATTCGTCATAACCGAATCGTAAATTACAACGAAATTTATTGAAATAGTTAGCTATACGTTTATGTCGCGAGCAAAACAACTATTCTCGAGGAGACAGACTGAGTGAGTACGAGTATGACTGCCTACCTCGAATGAAGGTTGCATCTTGTACCAACCAACAAACTAACATGGCCCAAACGCAACAAATATAAATTCCCCCTCTGCCTGCCACTTTACCATAACTCCTGAAAACTTGCCCGACTGACACACCATATGAACAAGAACCGAATCAAATCAACAAATCGTAAATAAATAAATAAATAAACCAACACAGGACCGCAGAGTGGAAGGAGGGAAGTATCTGTTTGAAGCAAAGCCAATTTGCCAGCTTTAGCATTCAATGAAGTTTGCCATAAAAAAAACACACACACAAATCCGGATCCACACCATTTTATAGTCAGCAGCTGCAGCAGCCAGCAATGAAAGCAACCAAACAACCGGAGGAAGGAAGTTCTTGAAGTTCATCATCTATGGTGGTGGGCTTTCAGTTTTTCCCAATCAATTTGTGATATACCCACTTTCACCGAAATCCTAAAATTCTGATTCGAGATTTTGTTACCGGACCCTACCCTGAATTCGGAGAAATTTAAGCATCTGAAACCACGCTCGCACTAAACTCGTCGTCTTCCACGGGAGCTGGCAAGTTGAGATCCAGAAAGCTGTAATTTTTGTCGATTTTGGCAGCTGCCGGAGGCGGTGGTGGTGGGTTAGCCGCTGCTGACGGCGACGGGTAGGAACCGCCGCCGGTGAGATGTGATCTCTTGTGCCCGCCCAGTGCTTGACCCGACCCGAACACCTTGTAGCAATACGGGCACTGGAAAATCCTCTCTGCCGCCGCCACCACATTCCCCATTCCGCCGCCGAGCTGGGTTCCGTTGAGGGAGCAAATCCGGCGGTGGGATCCTAATGCCTGTGAGGATCGGAACTGTTTCATACATTTCTCGCACTTCAACTTCTTCCCCCGATTTCTTCCGCTGCTGCTACTTCCCTTCTCGATTTCTCCTCCATTTTCCGTCTTTTCCCCTTCTCCCTCTTCAATTTCGTCGCTTTCGTAACTGAATCTTCGCTTCCAGTTCACGTCCCTCGACAGCATCACCAGGCACATCGCCACGTCTTCTTCAGGGGAAGCATCGGAAACAGAGCTCACCGGTTCTTGCTCTGCCGCCGCAGGCGGCGGCGATTCGAGAACCCAACTCTGATTCTCCGCCACTCCCTTCTTATTCTCATCTCCGCCCGAGTTCCGGGTCCGCTTGGATCGCCTCCGGGTCGGGTTCCTCGACTCGGTCTCGCTCTCTCTGTCCTGCACGACGGAGGAAGACCCGGCGAAAGAGAACTCGGGATCCGCGACCCGGAAGCTCTTCCTCGGGTTCTCCCTCAACCCGTAAATCCCATCTCCGCCGAAGCCTCCAGCTGCCACCACCGCCGGCCTGCTCTGCTCCACTTCCAGCTCGTCTTCTTCGTCTGAATAGGAAAACGAGGACGACGATTCGATTGCCGGGTCGTAGTCGTGTCGACGGCGACGAGGAGTAGCAGCGGGAGGAGTAGATTTGGGAGGGATACGGAGCTTGGCCAAGTGGGATTTCATGTGGCCGCCCAAAGATCTTCCATTGGGGAACACTCTGAAACAGAGCTTGCATTTGTGCCTCTCCATGAGCTCCCCTTTTTCACTCTCTTTCTCTCTCGCAGGTAGAAACAAGAAAGCAGAAGAAGATGGAAGGTGGAAGGAGAAAAGAGAAGATTTTGTTGGGGAGGGGAAGTTAAAAGGAGTAGGTGACAAGCATTCTTCCACCAAAAGTACAGAATTCCACAGACCCAAAGCTTATGAGATTGCACATTTGCAGGCAGAGAGAGAGAGAGAGAGTAAAGAGGGGAAAGGAAACAAACTAATAAAAACCCAAAACAGTTGTACACTTGGGGTGGATTTACATAAACGGGTCACTGAACTTTCAGTTCTAACCAACTAGTCATTAAGTTTTAAGATAAGTGCCATAACAACCATGTTATCTGTGCGCTTTGAGTTCTTTATCGGTAATATTAATACTGTTTTTATTATTAATATTATTAATTAACATGGAGAAACCACTTTAATCTACACGATCCAAATCAAACTTTGGTTTTCCGGATTTTTTTTTACTGGTCAAACCTATCGAAATACTAAAAATTAGTCAAATATTAATTTTTAGTAAGCAATTTTGTAAGAATTATTGACTTGGCAACAAGATACTGATTTGGAAGAGACACATGAAGGTCAACATTCGAAAATAGACATTACCTTCAAACTTTTATTCGACTCTATCTTAAACTCAAATTACCCTTATCCCGTAGTTCACCACAAGATTTAAGTGGCCATTTTTATACATTTTAAGTTTAATGAGTTTATATGCTCCTGTGTAACTTTGGATTAAAAATTAATGCAATTTCAGTTACATCTTTGTTGAAATATAAAGTTAAGCTGACTGATTTGTTAGTGACACAAAGTCTACTGATGTATATAGAATTGGCTTGCACCAAAGGGGAAAAATACTTATTTTTTTTCTTCTGCATTGAGAAATTCTCTATTTGGCATAGCTTTTTCATCTTATTCAATTTTCTATTTAAAATGGATATTCAGTGTGAATCAACCACCTTGTCCAATAGTAAAATGTTCCTTGGGTGGTTCTTTATTAAATAGTAACCATTCCATGGACATTTTACTTCCACGATGCTTTCAAGTTATTTTGGAAATAAGAATCATTTAGTGCTTGCTTAATTCTTATCCTTGCCACTTACCAAACATTTCATCATATCCAACGAATCCATTTTACCAGCGAGTCGAAATTCAAAATGAGTGGTATTTATATTTTTCGAGGCCATATCACTTATACTTAAAATATACACATACGTTAATCGTTTCTGGTTCAAATGTTAAAAATTGAACTATTAATAACTCGGTTGAGATCCTTGATCGTCAAACTTTCTAATACTGGATATTGATGTTGTTACACTTTTTCCCCCTTTCTTCTTCCAAATGATGTAGCTAGAAAGCATTCAAGAGGATTTTTGCACAGAATTTGTGAACTGATTCTCAAAATTATAGCAAGTAGAAACAAACTCATAAAAACGGTGTGGATGAAAGGATTGAGAAGAAAAGGGAAGAAAGAAATAATCAGAAAGTGTGATGATGAATGGAGAAAGAGGGACAAGTAACATGCAAACTTTGCCATTTCAGTAACCCTCCAACTCCCTTTTCTTCCTACCACTTTTGAGTTATGTCCTTAGATTAACAGAAGCGTTTTGTATTTTTTTAGGGCTAATGTCAAAACGAGACATACATTTAGTTTCTCTAAAAAAAAAAAAATGCACACCTTATTTTTTTTCCATGACAAACATTATTTGAAAGACATGAACTGCTTGAAATTTTTGAGTAAGGAAACACTATCTGAAAATTTTCAAATGGAAAGAGGGTAGAATGAGAGTGGTACTCAATTGCTACATGAACCATCATGGTTTTTTTTCTCCCTTTCTTCCTTTTTTATGTGATCCTTTGAGCATTTAAAAGGGAGCCATGCATCCATCTATATATTAATTGGAAGATCGGCTCCAATTTGAAATCGGATGAAATGGAAGAAAGATATTTTTGGGGGGTTTCGGATTTGGCCACCAATTTTTCAGGGTTTAACTTTCTGGTGCCCAACTGCATGACTTGGAGCTATACAACTTTGCTTGTTTTTATCTCGTCAACAAAATCGGATTACCAACGTAGTAAACTAGTAATGTGATGCACTTGTTGAAATCCTCGTTTCGAACATCAGTGGACGTGTATGTATATACCGGCCACGAGTCACTCTTACCGTTAGAATAACTTCCTTGTCGATTTACCGAGGATTTGAATGAGGGACATTTACCCCCTCATTTTGTTTACATAGTTTTGATACGTCGTTCGAATTTATATATTTGACGCTTAATTTGTATGCTTCTAAAAGTATGCAAATTCCTAATACCGGGTAGTCGTACTTTGTGACCATTTCAGAAACAAAACAAAAGCTTCCATCAACCATGACACATTTGATATGTCGAACTACTGACTAGATAGAAGCGTTACCAATGTTTGACCTTTGAACAAGGATTAATTGACCCTTACTTTAGACTGGTAGTACAGTGAGTTTAATTGAACTGAAGGATGAGAAAACTGAAAGGGGGGTTGATTGAAAAGTTAAGGGGCACTGAATCGTTGAAAGGAATTAAATTAATTGTGGGAGAAGAAGGGGAATAAAATGAATGGGCAAAAAAGGAAAGAAATCAACGGGAAGTAAATAGTAATTAAATAGGGAGCTGGCACCTTAATTACCATTTACCACAGAGACTCCACATCCAAGTATTAATTGCATTTCTGTAAATTGCAATAATAACAAGGCATATCTTATCCTATCAATTAATTGATCAGTTACGCAGAAAACTAGCTAGCAGCTAAATGTGGAATAAGTTTCCTGTCAATCCTCTAATTACTCTCTACTCTTAAAAGGATATATCTGGAATAACCGCGAGGCAAGTTCAAGGCGGTGATCTCGATATTTATACTCGTTCTTTGATAGATTGGATAATTTATCATGGGGTGCGGGTTGGAGCAAGTCGACCTCATATGAGTATGTAATTTAAAAGAAAAATATTAAAAATATATATATTTTCATTTAAAAATACACGAAACAAACTATAGTATGATAATTATAATTAAATTATTCAATAATTTGAGGTTCTCACGTATTAAAAACTTCATTATAGCTAAAATATGTAGCAATAAAAGTAAAAATGTGGCTGGTCATGAAGGACCACGCAGAGAAGAGTATACATGTCCACCCCTCCTCGGGTCAAACCGATCGATTAAATGGATCATATCAAAATTGTCATCTCAAATCAACAACAACAACAAAAAAACTGCAAACAAATTTAAAAATTATGAGTAGAACGTTAGATTTTACATATCTTTTTTGCCATTTGTGATATCATGTGAATATACCCCACACTAATGTCATAATACATTCTCGTGCTCCAGACGAAGACTTTCTTATTTTTCACGACTCAAGGCATACTCTCGTTTCCATCTTTTCAAATTAAAACATGAATCGATCGACATCCCCTCATTTCTGCTTGTACATAAGTTCGCACGATCCTTATCCACATTTCACAAACAAATATCGTCGTATCAGTTGATACAAACTATGAATCAAAAACCTACAAATCATCGTCCTCGTCATCCTTTCGCCAGTCCATCCGAACCAACCCGGCAGAAAAACGTTACTCATTCCATAACCAAACGACTTGATTACAAACAAATAAAACAAACCAAAACCGGGATTACGAATGTAATTCATTAGTAAAACTCAGTATTGTTAGCTGCCGACCGAAATGTGTGTGTTTTTGCGAGTTGGGTGGTACATAATCAGCCCATAATAAAGCGACAAAAGAGAAAACCGGAACCAGACCGGTTCCAATCTGTCCAATCAGAGGAACCCATTAAGATTAGGAATAGGAAAGCTTTACATAGTACAACAAAAACCCGCAGTTCATGTCTTGTCGATTTGGCTCTTCTCTTCTCTTCTTTCTTCTTCTCGACACTCTAGAGAGAGAGAGAGAGAGAGAGAGAGAGAGATAGAGAGAGAGGTGCAGTGGAGCCCACCTTGTGCTTTTCTGTACCCTTTCCTTGTGAGCTTTACAGTGCAAAGCCCTTTTTTCCATAAACACTCAACGTCAAAGATACTCTAAACCCACCCCCGCCGGTCAGTGGAGGCCTGGAGGGGACAACAGCTTCACCGGCCGGTTTAGGACGACGCCGTTTACCTGCTTTTTTTTTTTTTTCTTCTTCTTCTTTTATTCTCTCATTCATCAGTCACATTGCTCATTCATTGGTCATTACTACTACGAATCTATGATGGATCTTGTCTATAGGGTCGGCAGCAGCTGGGTTTGGTGTGTAACCAGGGATTGCTTTATTTTTTTTGCACATTCTTGTTGATGAATCAACGGTTTCAATGTATTGAGTCTTCTTGAATTTGAATTAATTACAATATGATGATTGTTTATCTCTTTAAAATTTTAGGCGTTTGATGAAAAACAAAATGAAACAACTTTTAAAGTAAAGAGTATACGAATTAGACATGGATTCGGACATGACATGTACCAGATAATGATTATATATCGTGTAAAACGATATTCTTATCTACGCTAATCTGTATAACGATTCAACGGGGGGAAAGATCTGTATAATGCTTTGTAGTGCGAGATCAAGTTTAATGTGTGTTGTTTTACTAATGTTGTAAGATTTTCTCGTTTTCTTTTCCTTGTATACCCATTTCTCTAATTTTATGTTTAAGAATATCTATTTTTATTTTGCTTATTGGGTGGAAACAATGTGAGTTGATTAGGTTTGAAGTAGAGGTTGATTCTATAATTCTTGGACAATATATTACAGCATGCATTTGTTGAGGATGAGTTACGTTTGAATTACAATTGATGGGAGCTTGAGTTTTGTCTTCCTCTGGTAGGTTTCATTTCCAGAACAGCTTGTTTTACGATTATTTATTTCTCTTGTCTTATTTGTTTTATCCAGAATTTAATTAGTGACTGATTTGGACCAATAAAATTGAAACAAGTATGATCGTTG